AGCAATGAATTTGCTGTGCCTATGAAGTGTCGATACTGGTTGGTACCACAGGCAGCACACCGTGTTGAGATCGTTTGCCGGAAGCCAGATCTGGCTTGCTGTGAGCCAACCCAGCGAAGCTTCCAGCGAATCGTGGTATCGGCACGAGTCATATCGTATCTCGAAGTAGAGAACAGGACCGCCAAACATGTTGATTTCGCTGACGAGTTCAATCCAGCAATGGTACTAGTTCTTAGGGCTCGATTCGTTCAGCCGGCCACCAACTGAAAAGGGTTCCGCCCGATTTCAAAATAGTCTCAAAGTTCACATTGTCAATGTACAGATAATAGCAGTGACACTGAAACTGTAGTTTGTCTTCACCAGCCGTCTTCTGAAAACCCAGTGTCTTTCTACAGCGAATTCGAGGCTACTTCGGGACTTCCTTCTTACATCTCGAGTACTCTATAATCCTCCAAGGAACAGTTCTTCCAGGCTGGCTGGCCGAAGCTCCTTGTCGTCAGCGATGGTGTCTTTCAGCGTCAAACCCATGCGATAGGTCTTGAAATAATCTTGTCTCCCTTTTTGACGCAGCGCCTTCATCTCTTAAGTTCGAGGTCCTTGAGACAAACCATTGTGCTCGGCTCGTCTGCGCAAGACACAGGGGCATACTGGCTCCCAGGTCGGTATGGCGATGTATCAGACCGAGAGCCGGAGCCTGTATCGTGGTTGTTGGCCTTTTTTAGTATTTGGTGGAACAGATTCGACTCGGGAGGTTGAACAGGCCGCCTTACGGACGAGGATGGTGTCGTATTCAAACAAGGACGATACAGCACATCTTCGTAGACATCATTTATATGCCTTTTAGAAACTATGCGTATTGGGTGGAAACAGGGGGAGGCCATGTCCGGTGCTCGTTTTCATCGGTTGTTTAATAGGAAAGTGTGGGATGCTGCGCGGTTTATGTAAAGCTCCCTGTAGCAGTCTTCGGAAAGCCTGCTAGCCAGCATGCTTTCTGGCAGCAATAGAGAATGCCCTTGACCGCCCCAAGAGGCTGATGTCCTTCTCAACCAGGGCCGGTCGACTCATAGCCATGTTGTACTTGCACCGTACGCGATCACAAAGTCTCAGCAAGTAATCAGGGGCTCTCTGCTCCAGCGACGAAAGAACAAAACCCGCTCTTTGCACCGTCGCGAGGCGAACGTGTCGAACAGCTCCGCATACAACTCTTTTAGGCACTCGTCAGTGAATCCATCCTTGGCCTCCGAGTCGCCAAGTATCGCCGTAATCCTTACCAAAGACTCACGGCCTGGGGATGCTCCCGGAGTTCGCCAGGGCTTCTAGTCTGTCGCAGCTTCTTCTGGTGACCACCAATCCTCACTAAAGCCCTTAGGCACTGCTTGCCACCTATGCTTCCAGGTTTCTGTTCTCACCCCAGCTGCATCCCGCCGTGGCTGATGTAAGTTGGTGATTGTGATATGTACGTCGCGGGATATACCTGTTTAGCCTGGACAGCTTTGCCAGGCCAGGCTATTGCATCGTCCTGCCATCCGCCTCAGATTTCTGGCCGATCGCGTGAGGTAAGCAATGATGTCACGAAACACAAATAGTGTCAATACTCGTCGAGCACTCTGTCACGTGCTATCTCACGTGCTATCTGACATGATTCTTGCATTCATTCGGCCTATAGACTGCTTTCTTTTCTTCGTTCTAGACGGGTTGATTGAAGTCACTTGACCCACTTCACGAGCCCATTGCTGCTCGCCGTCTTTCGTGACAGAAGACTACGTTCGGAATTTAGCGTAGTCAGCAAATGGGCGTGCAACCGGCAACCCAGACGCCGCGCCGCTCACCGTCCCTCCGGCACTTGGCCAGTCTGGGGCAGTCCCGGCTCCAGATTGACGGCGGAATCGCAGGACGACAGCGTGGAAAAATCGGACCTGCTGCTGCATCGGAAGGCCAACGCCGGCTCCGGCTGCCGTTGATGGCTTCATGGCGTTTGGGCCAGCCACCTGCCCCGTAGTGCCGTGCATCCTCAGGGTCTGTCGTGACCCTTTGGCGCAGCCATTCCTTACCTTCCCGTACGCACCGTCAGGATCGGCCGAGTAGGCTTCTGTCGCGATCTCGGCCCCTGAGCGACCTTGCTCCGCGCGCCAGACATGACTCGACACCAGTTCGAAAAATCGACGTTGTCTGATGCCTTTTGTCACACCTTGCATCTCTTCGCTTGGCCCCCCGCTGTTTAAGGTTCGAGCCAGACCCATCTCCGGCCAATCAGATAACGACGGCCCGTTTTCAGTCACTCCAGGCAGGAGCTCGAGCCAGCCTAAATCGACTTCGTCACCCACAGTGCACAACCCTTCATCCGGAAGTTGATTCCTGGTCAAATCAAACCTGTCCGTCTCATGGCCCACTGGTTCGCCGTGGACGTCGAAATCAGCATCTTGATTGTTGAGGGTGTCGACGCGGTCGGCTAGGTCGAAGGCAGCACCTTCCAAGCCTCCCTGCAGGCCTGCGGTGCCTGCGGTGGCGGATTCGGCTCCAAGATGGCCAAGACGGCGCGTTTCGCATTGGTGTCCCCTCGAGGCCAGTGATGGATCCGCGGCGTCGTCTTTCCCTACGTTCGCCCCGCACTCTGCAAGCCCTACGGCAGTGGTACCCGATAGCAACTCCTGGCTCTCGCTCTCGCTTGCCTTGACGGCGACTCCGTCCACAATCGGCGTGGTCTCCCTCTTCTGGGGACTGGCGGCGGACCGAACAGCCCGGCTGCGACGTTGACGGTCGATGTGGTGTCGGCCATGGTATAAATCCAGTAACTGATCTGCGTCTCAGTTTCCAAATACCATCAGGTCTGTTACTCAGTTGGCTTACAAATCGGTTGACGTCCGGAATGCTCTGGCCTTCGGGAACGTGGATTGCTCCGTCGAGCTGTCGATAGGTTGGGTTGTAGTGTATAGTAGCCGTGAATACTCTCGCCTCGCGTCCTAGTTTGAGCGTCTTACTGATGACGCTGCGACCGCTCTTCCGGACCTTGGCTTTGGCCTTCTTGTCTTGGTTGTGCCCACTGTCGGGGGAGGAGGAAACCGCCATGGTCTCTGTTATGGCAAGGCGCAGCTAGAAGCAGATGTTGGGCATGGCACATCGGAGTATCAAATCCGGGATACTCTGTTGGGTTCCCTGTCATGACCATGTACCCAGCTTGCAGCGCCTGGAATTGATCCTCTTAAATGGCTTGGAAGCCACCCCTGGCTCTCGATAGCGGAACGTCTTCGCCCTTGGCCACTGCGAGCCCGAGGCGGCTTTGCTAGTACTGTTCACCCACGAACCGACCCTTGCACACGAGCCCGAACAAATCAACTGTCATTTTGACAGGTCTCACGGGTACTGTAGCCTCTCCGTCCAACATACCCCATGGCTGCGGGTCGGCTTTTTGCGTAGGGGAGGCGGGGGTCAGTCGCAAGGAATCCCAGCCCCCCCACCCCTCGGCGCTGATTTTTTATTTGACTCACCGTCTCCAGAGAGGCTTTCATGTGGTTCGCGGACAGCGGACTACGCTCGGTACGACACGTGAAGAAAAGATGCTGCGGACCCTAGATGTCCCAAATTTATTGCTTGGGGCTCTCCACCCATTTGGCGGGGACCAATTTCGGCCTACCGGCGATCACCGGCCGGGACATCCTTCTGAAGAATAACCAAACGAGCATCCCCAAGGAACATCACAATGTGCGTGCCAACAGTGAACGTCGCGGTTGGTTGTCATCTTCAATTTTTGATCTACGCTACGCACTACGCTGCGCATGCAACCCCTGCGCCAGAACTCACTGGCCATGTCCTGTCATGGCTGTTACGGCGACCGCGCTTTTTTTGCGACCCCGGCGACGTCAACTGCCTTCCGCTTTCGGGTGGCTTCGGCGCTTTCTGGCGCCGCACTGATCCCTGCCGCTATTGGGCCACCAGTCGCGCTGCTTGCCGCGGTCTCTGCTAGTGCCAAGAGCGGAGCAAGGCCCTCGAACGGGATCGGCTCAAGACCTTCCAGCGAGCACGGCACAGTCATCGCTCCTTCGGAGTGCTGAAGAATGTCGCCATGGGACCCCTGTTTGAATGTCTGCCCCGGCGAAAGCGAGCGGGGCTCGTCGACGGAGCCGAGCGGGTCCGAGGCCAGCAGCAAGTACGAGTCAAAGCTGGCCACCGAGGACGGTCGCGGCGCCGCGCGGGACCGCGCTAGATCGTACTCCAAGCCTCGTATGTAGACCGTCTGGTGATTGAGCGTCTGGCTCTGCTGCTCGTTCGTGCTTTGGATGCCGTCGAGTTGGGCCCTCAGGGCGTGGATTTCTTCATCCTTGGCAACGACGAGCATCTGCCACTGCGAGAGGCAGGCAAACATCTCTTCTATGACGGCCGCGACAAGTCTCGCCGTGAGAGCACCGTGTCCCTGGTTGGTTGTATGCTGCGACATGGCCATGGTGAGTAAAGCTAGGATGAGCGATTTCAAACCAACAGCCGTCGACGTTGGGCTTCGGACATCACTTCCTTTTCAACGCGAGAGGTGATGTCGGTTCCAGGCTGTTGGTACGACACCTAATTGGCAGGCTTCTGACGGTTCTGCCTCTCTTGACACTCGAAAGGGCGTTGGAATGTGCTCCGGCATTGCGGCCATAAAAAGCTGCCCGGCCTGAAGTCGTGATTTCGAACGGGAGACTTAGACAGCATAGAAACCAGCAGAGCCTTCCGCTTCGTTCCTCGCCCAACTTCGCAAACGTTGCCCACCTGTTCTTGATCATGCATAGACCTCAACCGCGCGGCCCAGGCCCGCATCGCAACAATTCCGGCCAGCCCCAGAACCGGCAGCCGGGTCCGTATCCGCGCCGGAACACGGCGGCGGCTCAACCGCGCAAGCAACATCAGCAGCCGGCCACGGCACGCCATAGCAAGCAGATGAACAACTCATTTCTACCTTTGACGCAGGCAGTGTACGATTCGGCTAACTTCGACGAGGCTTCGTACGAGTTCCAGGAAGCGGAGGATTCAACAGCGTAAGACGAGAATGGCCTTTCGTGCACCAGCCACTGACGTAGTCCAGACAGCCGATAGCTCCCCAATTCCAGCACTCTGCGTCGCCAACCAGGTAACCCAAACATCTCATCGTGGCAGTCGTCCATTAGGAACCCTCGATCTGACATGGAGCCAACAGTGACCCGTGCTTGATGGCGCAAGAGGATCTCACGGCCTCCATCGCACAAAACACGGCCTGGAACAGCGAGATAGAGGAAAGGTCTGCCCAAGTTATTCCGATGATCCTGATGACTACTGACACCACCCTCAGGATCGATCGGGCCTTGGATGTCGTCAAACGTCTCCACAAGGTTATCACTCAAACGGCCGCGGCGGCTCAACCCCCGGCGTTCGTGGAGCCGCAGCTTGACGTTGATGATTGGAACACACACGATACTGGCGGCCTATCTATTATATGAACAGCCCATGTACAGAAGTCTTCCGTCCATCCATCCCAAATCGTCTTGGAAAAGAGGCTTTTGGAGGCATAACAGACGCGGCCGACGGGCTGCTGACGCCAGTGCGGTCGGCCTCGGATGGAGTGTGGCGGCTGAGCAATCGTCCATCACGTCTTTGGATCAATCAGCTTGCACGGAACTTGGCTGACAGTTTTATTTCATTCGACCCAGGGTAGTAAGATAGAGAATCGCGTCTCGGGAAACCGCTTTTACACAATGGGAGAGATGATGTTCTACCTACCGTCTCCTTCTAATGATGTCTTCTGTGCGGCCACTGTGACGGAGCCGGTTTTGTGCTCGAGCGATGCGCCTTGTTTTCTTCCGGGTCCCGAACCTGCCCCTGTAGAACACCTCGCACAGATAGATGCCATAGTTGCTCCCGCTTCTGGCTCTATACAATCGATGACCGTTACGAGAATCCTACAGGCTGCTTCGTTTCTCCGCTTGTTGCCCGACACCCCCGATGTCGTCACAACAGCCCACTGCGCACCGTGGCTGGGATGTTACACATGTAACAGCCCTGCCAGCAGTCTACATCGGAACGCACCCGGTCGACAGATACCGGTGGGTTAGAGATGTTGCAGGTGGCTGGATCGGAATGGTCCTCTGCCGGCTCGAGGGCGCCGCAAGGCCTCAATTCGTTACGGTCCAGGAAGCGCCGGACCTCACCATCACGCAGTTCAAGGCCTTGGCCAAATCGACCCACCCGAACATGGTGCAGCTTTTTGGCCTTTTCCTGGGTGATAGGGCGTACATCACATACGAGGTCATAGACCTGGACGTCTTCGAACTGGACCTCACCAGCGAGCGAGAGATTGCTGCCGTTCTCTCTCAGGTGCGTGGCCTCACCTATTGGTCGGTCGAGGTGGTGACGCTCAGCCTCGTAGGTCCTTTCTAGCATCGAACATCTCCAATCGCTTTCTGAGCGACTCGGTATCCGTGGCATTCGTGTCTCTGCCTCTGGCGTTGTCAAAGCCGGTGAGCAGACTCGCCCGAACAGTGTTCGATCCATTCACAGCTTGACTAATCATCAAGTGCCCGACTTCGCGACGATCTCGATGCCTTGTGTTGTTTCGGGGACGGCCTTGGCGTTATCTCACGAGACGGTGGCACCCTTTCTGCAACAAGTCATGGATCGACTTGGTTCTAATGTAACGCGATGGTCAAAGGACGCGCTACTGTTCTTTGACTTCTTGCAAACAGGTCTCCAGCCGAATAGCAAAGTATGTGCGCAAATCAGTTCGACTGAACTTTGAGAGGCTGATCCAGCGCAGCTTCCCTTCTTGAGTAGATCAGGAGGACCAAGTGTCTTGATGCGAGCCGTAAGCCTTTCACGCCAAAACATGG